GTTCGCGCTGGACCAAAAAACCGCCGCCCGTTACTTATTTCACCACAGTGCGTTTATGTGGAGGTGATTCATGAACATAAATCCGTTCATTAATTAATGATGCAGATATTTCCGTGTTGCCCGGTCCTTGATTACCTCTGTGCTCCGTAATTAGCCTTGCTGACCTGCACTAATTAGTTCGTCCACAGCTGGACCTCAGTGTTTCTCTTCCCATCTCCTGTTGAAGGATTGAAATATAGCATTTACTGTAAAGCAGGGGTGTCAAACTCATTTGGGTTCCAGGGCCGCATAAAAACCTAATTAGATGTCAAGTGGGCCGGACCGGTACAACCATAACATAATTACTTATAAATAACAAAAAGTCGTTTTTTTTTTTATCCCTTTGTTTCCATGCAAAAACGTACATTAGACAAATCTTTACATTTAATAAAATGTATTTTTACAAAGTATTATGTTATTTTCAAAATGAATCAGGGCGACCGGATTGAAGCCCAAAGCGGGCCGGTTTTGGCCTGCGGGACGTATGTTTGACCCCCCGACTTTAAAGCGTTCTTCAATGAACATTATTCTCTATAGCAGGAATACAAACGAAAAACTCAAAAACTCTGATTTAGTCCAGATGGTTAACTTTTACGGTATTTTTAGCAAACGTTTTGACATTTTCTGGTGAACTCTTTGACCTTGGGTTTTGTTTTGTTTTGTTTTTCAACCCCAGCTGGGGAACGCTACTAAAATCCAACTTTTTCCTGGGAGAACGGAGGCATTTTGGCATCGCACTCGTTGTCCGAGACAAGCAGATGAAGATGACCTCGGCTTCATTTTGTCCAATTAAAGCGAAAACTGATAATCATAACTAAATGTTGTCGTGGAAACCAAAACAGAAGTAGTTTAAAAGTGAATCTATAAAAAGTTAGCAAAACATGAAAATATATTAATAATATTTTAAAATGGTATCTTTGTTTTAGTTATTAACTAAAAATGATAAAAACCTAAAGAATGACTAAGTAAAATTATACAAGCAAGTCATGAATACAGTATGTTGGCTGTTCTTCTCATCCGTGGCCGTCATCGTCGTCTCTAAAGCATATTGTCTAAATTGTTGTCGCTCAACTCCGTCTCTAGATGATGTGCTCGCGTTGATTAACTGTGTCGTTAAACCGTCACTGTTGTAAGACGGCGATGTAAGGACGAACGCACGTCCGTCCACGCTCTTCACGGTCCACGTGCTCGAGGTGTTGAAATGGCATTTTAATGACCTGCTGAGTTCGCCCATGTCCGCTAATGGATCTGTCCTTTCCTGGATCACTGTACCATTAATGCAAGAATGCTGTCAATGTGTCCTTGATGGAAAATGAAGTCAGGACAGGACACAGACCTGTCCTGTATTTATAAAAACATGAAACCTGACATTTACAATCATTACATTTATTCAGTGAACCTGTGGCACATTTAGGCTAACGATAAGCTAACGTCTTTGCCCATTCTACATACTGTTTTTACCTTCAGTTTGGTCCGCCTGTAGCTACATTGGTATGTTTTGCTTAGTTTGATCGTTGTGTTGTGTTCTGTACAAAACTTTCAATTTATTTTATGATTTCTCTTGCTATTTGCAATTAGTCTGATTGTCCAAAATGTCTGAAACAAATGTCCAACTGTCAAAATAAGTGTCGGTTCTTGAACCCTGCATTATATTCTACAGAGCAGAAGAACTCCCACTCATAACAGTGAAAATCCCCTTTCAGTTATTAAAAAGAATTCCGCTCCAAAACATGTCAAACCCTCCTCTGTAGCTGAAGGATGCACGTCAGGGCTAAAACTGAAAAGATAATGACGGGTCAAGGAGGAGCAGTACTGTGTGTGTGCCAAAGCTTTTCGCAGATACGGAGGTTCGAACTCACATTTGCATTTGTGTAACATCTTTCCCTCCAGAGACTGGTCGTTCTGCTCACAGCTGCTGTTCTCTGCCCGTATGACGTACACATGCCTCTAAATTTACCACGCAGCTTTCGGACTAATCGCACATCGTACATTTTCTCCTGCTTTCGCAGCAGTCCTCCTGCTTACAGGTTGACCGTTTTTATTTTCTTCAGCACCTCCTCTGGGGAGTCGGTGGTGACATCATCAGCCAGATGTTGAAACCTAAACATTCCATACATTCCATTCATCAGTGGACGAATGAGAAACACAGTCGACAGAGGCAATGGTTCGGTAAAGACTTGGTCAATATAAAGATTCATCGAGGCAATGGTTCAGTAAAGACTTGGTCAATATAAAGATTCAAAGCACTTCCTGTTGTTTCTGCGATAGCTCTTCCCTGACGTTACATCCAAGAAATCCCTGTTCTTGTTATCAGGGATGGCTTGATCAGATACCCGATATCAGTCAAAATTTCAGCCAGTTCGATCCGCTACCTAAGCCCACTGGAGGCGAATCCCTGGTCCGAGGACCAGTGCTGGTCCGTAGGTCATTTGATACCAGCCCGTAGTGGGAAAAAATGTACTTAAAAAGGTTAATGAGCCCGTAGTGGAAAAAATGTACTTAAAAAGGTTAATGATCCTTCGACCACGCAGTAGTATTACCGGTCCGCAGTACCGGCTGATATCAGCGACCGATCTTCGGTACAGAAAATGCTCGACTTAACTTTGCGTTGCGTGCCGTAACTTTCACCTTAGCGATGCTAGTTCACGGCATGATGGTGGAGCAAAGAAGTTATCGGATTAATAAAGGTATCAACAGAACTCCGAGTTACAGTATCTGTATCGGACATGGAAAAGTTGTATCGAGCCATCCCTAGAAGTTACGCTTACCTAAAATGTACAGGAAGTTTCCCCTGTTGTAAGTAATTCTAATAATAATTTGAACTTTATTGATCGCACACTTGGGAAATTCTTGTGTTAGCAGCAGATCTGCTGCAACAAGCTACCCTTGGGAGGCGCCAAGTATGTGGTTTCTCTGGGAATCAAATCCAACTCTTTACTTCCGAGGCAAGCGTGCTAACCGCTACACTATGGAAATACTTTAGTACTGTACTTAATACGAGGAACTATTCCCTGTGGTGCGAACCAACACGTACAGTGACAAAGAAAAGACAACACCATCCAGAAATACCAGGGTCGGTCAGATGAGTGCCGAACCTTCAACCGTTCTACGGACTAGGATATCTGTGGGCAGACCAAAGGAACGCTCAGGGTTTAAAGGCAGTTTGGAGATAAAAATGAACGAGGCTAGCTGAAGATGAATTGAACATGTGCTGTGGAGATGCTGTAGATATTGGACAAAGGATGTCGGAAATGTACACAGCTGCCAGATAATCCATTTTGGAGACGGTGGAAACTAGAAAGATTCCTCCTTTCTGTGTGACTTCACAGCCCGTTTGAAGAAGTCGTCCGCACGGGGAAAAGTGTTGTGGAAGTTTTGGATTAGTCTTCTCCTACGGGTAAAGAATTTTCCCCAAAATCTTGGCAAAAACTTTAGTGAGAATATTAACAGCTGAGGTCAAGTGTTTCTTTTTTTTTTTTCCCCTGTCAGCTGTTTGCAGCACTGCTTCACATTTTCCATGGTCTGTCTCCTTCCTTTTTCTGTTTTCGTCATGTGAACTGTCGGGAATGTGAGCCCGCATCCTAATTATCCTAAACACTAGACGTTTAATCGTGACATTAAAAACCGCTTTGTCGATTGACGATTAACCCAAGAGTCATTAGTGGCGACTGTAAGGCTGAGCGGGGAACAATGTTTGGACATGTGTCCCGTGTGTGAGTTCAGCCTCTCTTAAACTGTCTCTCTACACAGTCTTCAAACGTCCCTGACAGGTTTCATGTTTATGTGGGACTCACTGCTCCATATGTGTTTTCTGTCAGCCTCTTGTCAACTCTGAGGGAGTTGCTGAGGATCAGTAACTGCAACTAAAACAACAAAAAAAGAATAAATCAGTACTTTGTGCCTCCTACTTTTCCCACTTCAGGACGCCTAGCTGTCCAAAAAAAAAGTGTTTATTTGGACAAAAGTCTAACTTCTACGTTGAGTCGTCTTGGTTTCGAATCTCGGTCAGAGTCACTACACACACAAAAAAAACCCCTCTAGGGACCTGATATGGTGAAGTTCCTGTCATGATCTGAGTCACAAAAGAAGCTAGCTTAGGGGAAACCGGTTCAGTAAGTCCAGGTGGTTACACCAAGTCTTGACTAGGTCTGTGAAGCTGGATATAGATTGGCTAGAGACCTGCAGCAAATTAGTGTTGTTTAGAAAATGTCTTCATTGTTTGAAACTGTAACAGACCAGTGTATGGTTGATTGAATTCTTGAGCTTTGAAGTGTGCAGACTAGTGTATGTTTGATTGATTGAATTCTTGAGCTTTGAAGTGTTGTTGTTCAAATCTTTCTGAGAGCAGCATTGGTTTCTGTTGACCTAGCCTAGCTAACGCTAACCCCTGCCAGTGCATTGTTGTGACTCTTGGTTTGAATCACAGAAGATTTTCAAATAATTTGGATTGACACAAATTCCTAGTCCCAGAATCTGAAGTGTTTCCTGCTACTACATTATACCTTCAACATGTGTCTAAATTGTTCTATAGAAAGCTGATGGGACAGCCTAGCAACAGGTTGCCGGGTTGATTTCATTTGGGTCTGTTCTTAGGTGGACATGGTGAAAATAGTCAGTTGGTCCTATCCAATAAACATGACAGTATCTTGTTAGTTTAGTGTTGCTCTGAATATACGATGACATGAAAAAAAACTCAACCAATGGCGTACAGACTCAGAAAATCACAATGTTAGCTTAGCATTCGGTTCGTCTACACTCGTTTGCTTCTGTCCTCCATGTCTTACCCTTTCACTCCGTGTCTTCCAGGACTAAACGCTCTGCCCTTTGACCCAGCAAGCAACAACGACCCTCTCCATTTCAACGGCTCCAGTGGACAACTGGTGACAGAGTGCCCTTCTCTGGAAAACTCCGCAGAGAACAGCAAGAAGAGGAAGAGAACCGCCTTACCTCCAGGTAGGGACCACACAGTCCTGCGCTAGGGCTAGCAACTTAACGCTCTCCTGCACTACATCTCTTGGAACAGAACTTTTGCAAATGGCGGCGGTGACGTCTGGTGTTGTCTCT